CAGTATTAAATTTAGATTTACATTCTCAAGCTATTTAATTTACGTATATATATATATATATGTATATACATATATATATATATGAAAACACAGAAAAATGTATGAACAAATACTCCAGAAACAAAGTAGGTATTTATTTATCTTGAATTTATTTTTTCTCGTAATGTAATATACAGTTCCATGAAAGCATTATCAAAATATAAGAATGAATTAAAACACCCATTTGTAAAAAACCTGTACTTAAAATACTATCAATAAATACAACGATTTAACAAAATACTACAAAAAAGAAATCAAAATTTTTATTTAAGAAGGATTTAAATACTTAAAACACACCTATAGATTTTGATGTTTTTTTATATGGTTTTCTGTGCATACGTCAGATTTATTGATAACATTTTAAATAAGGTAGTACCTTAAATATGGTATTAATTGATTTTATAAACAGAGTATTTGTTATAAGTGGGCATTTTAGTAGACTTTGATATTTTAATAATTTTAGTAAAACTAGGATGATGCAGAGTCGTTATACTGCAAATGCACTTCAGTAAAACTGTATTACTATAGTGATAGGAACAGAGTAAATTCAAAATAAGATAAATGACATTGGAAAATATTTATATATACATATATTGATGTATGTGTGCAGGGCTGGGAAAACCACACAACCTACAGCTTTTCCATTCGGTACAGGTGTGTAAAAACATGCAGAAAAACAACAACAATAGGTGGCATAGCAAGGTGACCTTGAAACTGTATGTGCTTACAATGTGACATCATTAAAAGTATAAATTTCATTCAATGCTCATTCATTTACCCATTGATTAGAAGGATTATCCCAGCTAACGATTATTAATACTTGAGCAAAAAAATTATAGTTCAACACATCACTGAAGATCTGCTTTGTATTCTTAACTTTCATGCCCTACCTCATCTGAAGTCTGTTGCTGAAATGCACATAGGAGATATTAAACATTAAATGTGACTTAGATTCATACTACTGTATTTTTAAGATGAAATAAAATTTACTATATTTAAATATAGCCTTGCAAGCCCCCAGCTATGATTTTTACACACTGCACCAATTTGCAAAGCTGTAAGTTGTACAGTTTTCACACCATCTTAACCATGGAACAAAAATGAATATTTAACTATACACACGTTTTTTAATTTCATATATAAATGTTCATTATAAGGAGTAATAAAAAAGTAATTATAGTGAGTAATAAAAAAGTAATTATAGTGAGTGATAAAAAGTAATTATAGTGAGTAATAAAAAAGTAATTATAGTGAGTGATAAAAAGTAATTATAGGGAGTAATAAAAAAGTAATCATAGGGAGTAATAAAAAGTAGTTATAAGGAGTAATAAAAAAGGTAATTTTAGGAGTAATAAAAAGTAATTATAGGGAGTAATAAAAAAGTAATTATAGTGAGTGATAAAAAGTAATTATAGGGAGTAATAAAAAAGTAATTATAGGGAGTAATAAAAAAGTAATTACAAGGAGTAATAAAAGAAAGTAATTATAAGGAGTAATAAAAAAAGTAATTACAAGGAGTAATAAATGAAGTAATTTTAAGGAGTAATAAAAAACGTAATTACTTAAAGCTTATTCATCCAGTCTTCATCCATTTACAATGATCAATTACAAATTTTAGAAATAACCGTAAATGTGTAAAAATTTTTTAGTCTATGAAGATTGTTTTTTAAAGTATGATTTTTAAACTTGAATGGCACCAATGCATGTGGGCTAAACTACAAGATCAGAAATCCCCTAGTGTTCAAGTATAGCCATTCTTAATTTTGAACTACTAAGCAGAGGGGGAGCAGCACCTAGCACAATAAGTCCGCTGCCTGGCTCTTTTGAAGCAAATAATGAGAATGACTGTCACTTTTATAACATGTCCAAGGCTGAAAGTGTGTAGCTTGTTCAGCAGCATTATGCCTCACACTTTGGGGACCATTCAATCTGTAGCTTGAAATGCTAACCACAAGACTACACCCACCCCTTTTTTGAAAACTGAAAAATATATATAATAATAAGAATATCAATCTTCAGTGAACATAACAATTTCAACCAGCATTCTTGAAAGTTATTGCAAGCTTTCTCTAGCAAACAATATAAAAGCTCTACAAGTATTATTATTGTAGCTCCTGCACAAAGCCTTGTATGAAATGACTTCAAAACCCTTGCAACAGCCCTGTAAATACTGACCTTGCAACACCAAGCCCTGTTAACATTGACCCTGTAATCCCTGCAACAAAGCTTGTAAGTATTCACCTTGCAAACACTGACTTTGCAATCCCTATACCAATGGTTTTTAAACTTGTTATTTTGAAAAAGCACATTTTGGTTCTATATATTCTATAAACTTATTCTCAACCACAACTTTTTGAAGAACAAAAACAAAGCAAAACACATTTGTCTATTTCACAATATCTTTAATATTCAACTAAACATAAAATCATAACTTGCATTAAAACAAATAAAAAACCTATGAATCATAAGTGTTTAGTTTGGCAATGTACAAAAAAAACTTTTGGCTTAAAAACATTACTAATTAATCTTATTAGAAATATGAACCAGTGAAGGTCTTTTGGGGAATAATATACTATTTACATATAAATAATTATACACTTAGATCACTAATATCAATATAATACTTGTCTTGTTTCAGATATTCATACAATGTTACACAAGGGCTATTTGTACTAACTAGACCTAGTCTTTAACTGATAGGGTAAAGGGAAGGCAGTTAGTCAGCATTACTCATAACCAACTCTTGGGCTACTCTAATCAAATAGTAAGATTTGACCCCAATCTTATAATTTACCCATGGCCCAAAAGAGCATGCAGAGACTTTGCAATGTGCAACTGGACACAAATTATGGACCCATGGATTCTCAGTCCAGCACGATAATCACTAGTCCATGTCCAATCAAAACTTTAACAAAAAAGATTAAAATACTACAAACAAGCTTAAACACAAACCTACCTTGTTCTTCATAAAAATAAGGTACTCCTAAAGCAGATAAGTACCCTTTTAATGGGCTGGGGTCATAAGCTGGACTTCCAGGATCTACAGTGACAGCTCCAAGCTGAAAATTAATCTCCTAGAAAACAATATTAGCATATCTCTTGTTAACAAATTCAGAACTGTTACAATATGACTGAAAATAATTGTCAATAACTCCTACTTAAGTGGCCCGATATTGCTTTTCGATCACACACAAAACAACTTAGCAACATGTTGTAGGTTATTAGGATATCTATGTTCCTAAACCCAAAACAGTAGTTAAAACACTGATTACAGATGACATTTATTAGGTTTTGTGGTGTTTAATAGTCAAGCTGGTGAAACATAAATAGTATGCATTCTCCTTACTAGATACACAATCGTGTTTCATCGTAAACTAGTATTCTATGATTACTTTTTCATCCATGTTTAAAAAAGATGAAATTTCATTTAAAATAGTTAATTAAGTGTAGTAATTCTACTTTCCTAGTTAGCTCTAATACTGCGCAACACCTTAACACCAATGTTGTATTCCACAGTATAGTTAAAATATCTCCCTGAAAATATATATTAAATTAGTTAAGAATGAAATTTTTTTAATATTTCCAATCACATTTCTTACCCTAAAAGGCACCACTGTTCATCAACTTCAACATATTATACATATTAAAGAGTCAAAATTGTCTCTAATTTAAAAATCCAAACTCAAATAAAGTCTCAAAAAATTTCTATATTTGGGCCTCAATAAACAACTTTTCAAATCAATTGGAATATCTTAATTTGGAAAATTAACAGAGAATTCTGTCATTAAAAGTATTTATGTCACAATAAAAGTTGTCATTATAATTTTTATTACAGCTGTAAGCAAAATGACATAATACAGTAAGACCAAGTTAGCCTTATTACAGCATTTCAGACTTTTATACTGTTTTGTCTCTTATATATTTTGAAATAATAGCAATTTTTTACATGTAACAAATAAAGTGATCTAAAGAAAAAATTAAAATATTATCTTCAGTTTCTTTATTTAAAAATCAGAAGTAATTTGTACCTTAAAACTATGCAAAAATTTTAGCAGCTAAAAATTTAAAAAACTAATTGATAAACAGGTTTTACCCAGGAGTGTTTAGTATGATGTTTTGGATGGTAATAGGTTTGTGGAGTAATTTGATAAAATGAATTTAAAACTTCAATATTTTGATGACCTCAATTTTAGATTTACTGACTTCAACCAAATTATCTACAAGATACTCACTTGTTAATTGTTAACCATTTAGAGAAAGCATAATATCAGGTAAAGTCACACTAATGCAAACTACATACCTTTTTCTTGGCATAAAACTGATACTGGTGTAATGTGTGCAACAATGACAAGGAGTCTTTTCCTCCTGACAGACAAACAAGAACACTGTCACCATCTTGAATCATGTTAAACTCTTCAACACCCTATCACAAGAACAATGCAATTCATCAACAAGCACCTCATGGTAACATGTAATTAAGATTAACAGTGTTTCTACTAAAGCCTGGTTTCAAATATTAAGTTTGTCAAGGTGCATTGTATAAATCATATTTCTTAAACATTTTATACATCAAAATGTTTGTGTAAAAACCAAAGAACTCAAAGAAAAGTACAATTCTTTGTTCAAGTATTATTATCAGAAATTGTAAATCAGCATTGGGAAAATGAAATGTTACACACTGTACTTACACTAAAATGTCTGCTATGCCTAATCTCTATGCATTATTAAAGGCTAATTAGCATTTGGAAAGTGAAATGATACACATCGTATTTACACTTAGATGTCTGCTATTCATAATTTATTTGCTTTATTATAGGTCAAGAAATTAATGTCGCATTTTGGAACACTTTCATTAACTACCAACCCCAAAAATGTACATCAATGATAATAATTAAACGAACCACCTAAACGTCACATTAGTGTAGCCTATATAATGTGTAAAGTTTAAAATACTCTAATCCCTTATAGTGATGG